CAAATAAAGCACAACTTTTATTACGTACAAGCTAATTAATTACAAGCATGAATGCATGCATGTGTAGCTTCATGCATGAATGCATGCATGTGTAGCTTTATGCATGAATGCATGCATGTGCAGCTTCATGCACGTGCATGCACTACTATTATTGAACGAGTAATGCTACACTTACCATTTGTCTGTACAATCTCTCTAATAGATTATAGAGGTAGGGCTCACCGACACATATGGATCTCATCTCTATTAGAAAAATGGTACAAATAGATGGTATGAATAACATTTTTGTTATTGAACACACCACTACACAAATGACCTATCCACATAGACAGAAATTGTGTTCGTTCATTTCACACACACACACACACACACACACATATATATATATATATATTACAGTAAAATGTAATAAAGGTTTTCAGTGTCGTAGCTACACACACATATATATGTGATAACACTTTATAGTTATTCTAAATAACTTCGGAATAATACATTGATAGGGATGATTTTGACATTTTCGTGATTACGTATGTAGTGTCACAACTTGCACTGCAAGAAAGTCAAATAACCAACAGTGCTCGAATACTATATTGAAGTTCTGAAGAAAACTCTACCTTGTTAGACCCATTCAAAACCTTCGTTATATAAAATGCAGACCGTAAGAAAATTACTTGCCAACGCAATCCTCAGGGCGTAGTGGAGAACGAAAGAATCATATAATAACAGCGTAACGCAATCGAAATCCTATCTGTTGGAAGACTATATGCAAAATTGACCAATACCAGGGGCTTTCTCAGGTGTCCATCAGAAGGAAATTTTTTAACCAAACCAGAAGCGACTGCTAGCTGACCAAGTCTTGTGCACACCTGCTCCTAAGTAAACGATAAGTACTTTCTGCACTGAGATTACAGAAACCTTCAAGCGATTGTCGGTGACTGGTAATCGAAAGTCTCGCCTTTCCAGAGTCTTCTGCAGAGCAACTTCAATTTGATGTCGGTAGGAGCCTTCTGATGAACTCGTTTTCTTTTTCGAGCCTTTTACACTTCCTATGTGTCTGAGAATTATGAGTCTGCAGGGGAAAAAAAAAAATAACAAGCCAAATTTCCGAGGTGCTAGACCGCGATAGAAACGTGATATTTCATTTTTGAGTACACATCATCGAAACTAATCAGCAGCAAAGTATAGCAGATATGTTACTGACTAGGATTAAGTAGATAGCATGAAAAAATTGAAGTGAATAACCTTTATTAACTTCATTAGTTGCAAATCATTTTTCAGTTAAAGCTACCATAAGCAGTACAAATTAACCTGTCTCGTTCTTCTCTTCAGCTCAAGGAAGATGGAAGTCCGATCAAGAGTCTTGCAGAGACCATATTGGCATCCATTTCAGAGATCGCAGTATCGGTATCAAGCCTCGAGGTGGGATGGGAATTTTTTCTCGAAACTGCATGCTACCTATATCGAGCTTCCATGGCGATTATGGTGTTGAAGACGGCTGAAAACTGCCCAGAAAATGCAATGGAAATTCTGCAGTCGATATCCAAGAGTGTTTGTTTGGCCAAAGATCTTGTGGAGAGATGCCAAATAGGCGTCCAACCATTTTCAGTTGCTCAACTGGGGGTTATTATAGCAGAGCTGGAGGAAGTTGTTAAAGACATAGGAGAATGCTTGAGCATGATACCGCCATTTACATTTGGAGACCAAGAATATGCAGAAGTTGCAGTTCGGTCCCTTTCAAATGAGATGCAGAATGCTCGCTTTAGAACTCAAGCGTCTCAGATCAATGAGCTCAATACAAAGATGTGGTCCTTGGAGGAGCAACTACAGGAAGAACCAACAGTGACAGAAATGGATTTCTACTCCCTAAATTTTGAGGTTTCCACAGAGAATCCTCATGTTTTGGATACACCTCAACTGGTTGAAATCCTTAAAAGCGCGAGTTGGGTAAGCAAAAGAAATGATGTGAACATGAGTGGATCTATAACGACATTGCCACAGGTGGGTGAATACATGGAGCCTCTGTATGAGAGTTTTTTCTGCCCACTCACAAAGAAGATCATGGATGACCCAGTAACCATAAGAAGCGGAGTGACATACGAGAGGAAAGCAATTGTTGAGTGGTTTGAGAAGTTCAATGGCTCTGAAGAAATCTTCTGCCCAACCACTGGCCAGAAGTTGGCAAGTAAAGATTTCAATTCCAATAAAGCTCTAAAATCCACAATAGCGGAGTGGAAGGACAGGAACGAAGCAGAGAGGATTAAGGTTGCCCGAGCAGCATTGTCCTTGGCTAGTTCAGAGCATATGGTGCTTGAAGCAGTAAAAGATGTGCACAGTATCTGCCAAAGGAACCCATACAATAAGATACAAGTTCGTAGTGTCGGAATATTGCCCTTGCTTGTTAAGTGCCTGGAGTACGAAGACAAAGATGTTATATGTGCAGTGCTGGAACTTTTGCAGCAACTGGCGGAAGATGATAACAACAGCAAGGTCGAATTTTAATTTCTTAATTTTTCATGAGAAACAACTAAATAAGACTAGAACAAACACTTGTTGGGTCCAACTTCTGACAGAGTGGTTTCTTGTGCAGGAAGAGATTGCGCAAACGATAAATATTTCAACTACAATCAAAATGCTTTCTAGTACTCACCAGTCCATAAGGCATGCATCATTGCTGTTCTTACTTGAGCTTTCAAGATCACAATCATTCTGTGAGAAAATCGGATCAGTTACTGGAGCAATCTTTATGCTGGTCACAATTAAATACAGAAGGTATACCGATGTCTTTGCTTCGGAAAAAGCAGAAGAAATCTTGAGTAATTTAGAGCATTTTCCAAATAACATCAAACAAATGGCAGAAAATGGACTCATGGAACCCCTCCTAAAGAATATTAATGAAGGTAATTTTCGGAACTCCACAATCCAGCCAAGCATAAATAACTAAAGAACTTTGTTTTGATTTAAACATTGAAATATCAGGTTGTGAAGAGATGAAGATAGAGATGGCAAGTTACCTCGGGGAAACTGTTGTTGGACAAGACCAAAAAACATACGTTGCTGAGAAGGCCTCTCCTGCTCTCATCGAAATGGTACGTAACGGAAATACAATGGCCAGAAGGGCAGCATTCAAAGCTCTGGGGCAACTCTCATTGTACCACCCTAATGGAAAAATACTTCAAGAAGCTGGAATTATACAAGTCATGGTAGAAGAGATGTTCATTCGGAAAATTCAAAACGAACCAATGGACTCAACAAGTGAAGCAGCTGCAATCCTTGCAAACATATTTGAGTCCGGGCTTGAGCTTGAGAACCTCCCCGCTAATTCTCATGGTCACACTTTGACTTCTGACTATGTTGTGTGCAACATCATCTACACGCTCAAGAACGCAACCACAGATGAACTAAGTAACAACCTTATTAGAATTCTTCTGTTGATTGCCGAGATCCCCAGATCAGCAGCGACCATTGTCTCGATGGTAAAAGAGACTGAAGCAAGCTACACCCTCATTGAACTCATCAACAACCCACACGAAAAACTTCACATCGCAGCGATCAAGCTACTAACTGTTCTTTCACCCCATATGGGCCACCTACTATCAGAAAGACTCTGCAAAACCAGAGGCCAGCCTGAGAACCTTATCCATAAACCAACTGAAACAACCCTCATCTCCGAGAAGCATGCAGTTTCAGCAAAATTTCTAGCGCAACTTCCCCACGACAACCTGACACTAAACCTAGCTCTTCTATACAATAACACAGTGCCTACAATCCTGCAAGCAATCAGTCAAATACAAGGAGATGTCAAATCAAGCAGGTTCGAAAGCGCGTACTTAGAAGGCCTAGTGGGAATTCTAGTCAGATTCACGACAACGCTATACGAACCCCAAATACTGTTTCTAGCAAGAACCCACAACTTCACTTCAGTATTCACAGAGCTGCTCACGAAAACATCAAGTGATGAAGTTCAGAGGTTATCAGCAATCGGGTTGGAGAATCTTTCCACAGAGTCAATAAAACTATCAAAACCGCCACAAATCAAGAAAAGCAAGTCCTTGTACCTGCCCAAGTACCTACCTTGTGGATCACCGAGGAGGAGGAAAACACCGCTGTGCCCAGTTCACAGAGGGGTATGTTCTTCACAAAACTCATTCTGCATTGTTGATGCGAAGGCGGTTGAGAGGCTGTTAGTGTGTTTGGGGCATGAGAATGCAGAAGTTGTCGAAGCTGCATTGTCTGCAATATGTACATTGTTGGATGACAAAGTTGATGTCGAAAAGAGTGTGACCATGCTGAGGGAGGCTAATGCTGTGCAGCATGTTTTGAATGTGGTGAAAGAGCACAGGAAAGAGGGGCTGTGGCAGAAGTCGCTTTGGGTGATTGAGAAGTTTTTGAATAAAGGCGGGGATAGTAGGTCGGCTTCGGACATATCAAACGACAGGGTTTTGCCTGCCGTACTGGTGAGTGCTTTCCATCATGGAGCTGGAGATACCAGGCAGATCGCTGAGAAAATTTTAAAGCATTTGAATAAGATGCCCGATCTCTGCGCTTCCCGCCGTACCATGTAAAACGTTCATGCTCACAAAGCACACATGCCATGTAGTGAATCTATTTTTTGATACAAGCGATACTCGGAGAGGGGCGATTGATACAAGTGATACTCGGAGAGGGGCGATTCAAACTTGGGGACCTCGAGTGCAAGGTAGAATATTTTTAACATACAAGCTTCTTACGGCATCTTGTAAATTGTAAATGAAGTTTGATTGTTTTGCCTAATCTTTTTATCTTTTTCTTTTTTATTATTTGATTGTGTATTGATATATAGGTTCAATCCAAATCCAAATAGATTAAATCACACTCATTCAGAAGCAGTTAAGTGCACTCGCATTTTCGTTATTTTTTGGTTATTTTTTCCTCAGATTTGTTTAATAAGCCATAAGCAAAAGTTGTTTTTTAAAGGAAGAACCAAATTTTGTTTGGATAATAAATTATTGGATTTGGATTGAAGTTTTCTTTTTGTATTTTGGATGAAAGTTTCAATGTATTTTTCTGAATAAACAATTTTTCAAAAAATAAAATAAATTTAAGAGGCATCATTGTTACAGCATTTCACATAAAAAAACCGAACAAATAAGATTGACATGAAAAGATTCACCAAAACGACAACAAACAAGGCACAAGGGAGGAATTTTGACTCCATTGTTTTACATACAACAAACACTTTCGTGAAGAAGTTTTTAACTCAGTTGTTTAAGAGCATACGCCAGAACACTTGAATTCCCGGATTTGATCGAGTTTTCACACATATCAAAATATAAAAATAAGTAATAAACACTTTCCTCGGCAAGTTGGCCAAAGCAAATCCTCCCTAATCCTTAGACATGGAGCGGGTCTTGGCCGGCACTTTAAAATTGACAATATAATTCCGGCTGACGATCCAAAAATCAAATGTTGTCCATTGACCAATACTTTGATGTCCAACAATATTGTTTCAAGCTTTTGTATTTAGCCTCCATCTTACAACCTAATACAACATTTATACACGCATCTTTGTCTCCAACATAATAATTTGAACTAAACTTTTACATCACTTGCATTGCCGTCATGAGATGCTTTTGAAAAATTCAATATTTTTAAGGGAGTTTTAACGAAAAGCCCACGGTACTATTCACTTTAACGAAAAACCACATTTTTCCACTAAAAAGTCAATCCTGATACTATTCACTTTACCCTTTATTTTGTCCTTATCATTAAAACTCAAAGTTTTCAAGCCCTTTTCATTAATTTTCCTTATTTTTTTAATGATCTCAGACCTCTATATATGCTTTGATCTTGAGTAGCTGAGCCTAACACCAATAGGGTTTCATTTCTACATAGAGACTCGATCGAGTAAAGAACTGATTTGTTTGGAATATTCTCTGATTTCTAAAGAAATGGCTTCTTTTTCGATAGAGGAGTTTGTTGGGGATGGGGTTCTGAAAGGATTGATTCCGAAGCTGCTAGACGAAGGCTGGGATGATGTACCGACCTTGAAGATCATGAATACAGATGATATGGATGCATTAAACATGACACAACTGGAGAAGGTTAGGTATTTAGACGCTTATTCAAAAATGTTTTACATTCGGTTCAGTAATCATCTCCTTAACCTATGAACATCTGAGTATGAATCTAAAAGGCATGTCTTGTAATCACCATATCAATCTGCTTCCAAGGCATTTATTTTATTATTATTATTTCTCTAGGATGCATTGGAAATTAGGTCATACCTGCACGACCGCGCTTTGATGCAATATGGAGATAGGCTTGAGTCCAGTGGGAAATGTCTGTCCGAGCTCCTTAGCTTAAGCACTGTAGATCTTTCTTCTCAGTTTGGCATGAAGCGTGGTCATATTGCCCGTTTCATGGACAGAACCGGTGCTTGTGCAGATCACCTACCAAAGTCTCATCCTACCCCTGCTGCAACAGAAAGAATGGGCTTACCGTCGAAAAATACTAGGATTCAAAGGAGTTTTCAATCTGTAAACTTTCAAAAGATCCAGAGTAAATTAACAACAAGAACTAGTTCAATTAACAGCAAATCTCTAGAACAATCACTGGCGAGTTTTAAGATCAAAGATGGATACATCTTCAAAGGGATCGTTGCTATGGAGCCAGCCGATCCTAGATTATGTGGTTGTATACAACCCGCTCCTGTAGTTGACAAAGTTGCACCATACTCTACCATTGAAAACATCTCGGTTCAGAAGTTGACACCAGAGTATAAGATTGGAATGGAGCATTTGGTGAAAACCAAAACACCTCCGATGAAGGCTTCAGAACTGTGGAGAAACAAACCAACAGTGATTCTCTGCATTCGACGTCCAGGGTAAATCTTTTACTCTGCGTTACAACATTTCTTCGTTTAACAGATCATGGTTTGTCCATTATGTTAGGTGCTAAATTTTCTGTCATTAACTCAGACAAGTAGGAGGTACCGTTGATCATAATTTTCATATAGGGGTGTATTAAGTAAATATAAGACACTTTAAAGACAGAGATTCATAAATTAAAATGAAGAGACACATGATGCAAGTATATTGCTATAGAATGTTATCGTTGCCTTACGGTCCAAAAGGAAGTACGTGAAACAGACAAAAATAATGTATGACCGTGAAAAGTTGGCTCGACTCTACCATGAGAAACAGGGTTTTCCAAAAGCTATATCTAATTCAGTAATTCTACGTCAAGGTATGACGCATCTTTCTTGAAACTAAGTTCTTTTGTATATATTGAACTTGAAACAGGTGCATCATGTGTAGGGCTGAAGCTCACCAGCTATATGCCAAAAAACCCATATTTGATTCACTGGGAATTCAACTACTTGCAGTTCTTCATGAGCATATGGAGTCAGAGGTATAACTACATTTAATTTCGAGCTCTTACCATTAACTTTGGATGACGTATTGTTCTGATGCAGATAAAAGACTTCTGGCCTCGATATTGGGGTGGTGTTGTATTGTATGATCGTGGAATGGAATTCTTCAAAGCACTTGGTGGAGGGAAACTGCTCAAGGAAAAATTCCTGTCAGGTTTTGTTTTCAACCCTCGAGCAAGAGCAAATTACAAGCGTGCAAAAGCTATGGGGATACAGCAAAACTTCAAAGGAGAAGGTGAAATTAAGGGGGGGCTTTTTGTAGTTGGCAGCGGAAGGAGTGGTATTGCATACCAGTTTATCGAGAGGAACTTCGGTGATTGGGCACCTCCAGCTGAAGTTATTGAGATCTGTGCTCAGTTGCAGGTAATTCTTCTTGGACTTTGAATTCTTCCCGAGTCTGCATCAATGATAAATTTATATTTAACAGCTCATCTTTAACGTAATGCAGAACCAACAAGAAGCTCAAGATGACTCTTATAAGAGATCACAGCAGTCCGAATGATAGTTAGATGACTATTTTCTGCGCACGCCTGAGATTCACAATGAATAAAAACATATATCTTGTAATTCCAGGATAAACAACGTATTACTTCTTATGATTCGTTTATTACAGATGTTGCTTGTACTATTTGTATGGAGTGTAAAGACGTGAGTTTATTGGAAATGCAATTCATTTAACAAACAGTTCAGAAAACCCTTAAGAACCTTCTTTTAAACTTGCAGCAATCAATTTATCCGAGTAAACATTGCATTGATCGAGTTAGCAAAGGGTCCGCAGAGATAGTCCTCCACAACATAATCCAAGTCACCAAGTGATGTTTAATGACTTGTCTCTCAACCTGAAACAAGTAGAACATGTTTTATCATAACTTACATCTCCAAGTGATGTGATCCTCCTTCTATGGAGCTTGAGCATAGCTGTTGGAATCTTGAGATAAAAACATTTCCAGTTCATAACCTTGCAAGGATTCAGAATCTCAGATAAAAAGAAAGTTCTTGCAGGATAGTCGCTTCATTCACAACAGCTCTCAATTGCATTTGTGTAACAAATATCTTCTCAAATCAAGGCAATGATATGGTTTTACAATCCTCTCCAGCAGCTTTTGACACTCACAATCTCATCACCAGAAATCTCCACATGAACAAGTTCCGTCTTTAAATAGATGGTACCGGACAGCATCTCTTACAAGAATCTCTCTCTTGGTGATCTTGGAAATGTATTTAGTGGCATTGTGGCAATCCCCACACACTCGAAGGTTTTTAACTACTCGTATGGGAAGGCAAGGAGGAAGAAATATCAATCCAAACGCAATTGCGAGCTTCTCACTGTGGTAATTAAGCATCTTCATTTTTTCTGATTCCTCAACATCATGAAGAACAGAACTCATATCTGGCTCATACCCCTCTTCTATCATTTTTCTATTCAGTTCCTCCAGCTTAGCATATATCTGATCCGAAAATGGACTTGATTGGTCATCTGCTGAAAAGATGTGCACTCTGTTCTTATATTTGATCCAACTGCACCCTGGTTCTTTTCTAGCCCCCTTATCCCTCATTCCTCTCCTCAATTTGGCCACCTCATCCCATTCCCCTTTGGCAGCATAGATGCTTGAGAGCAAGATATAGCTTGCAGCATTCTGGGGCTCTAATTCTAGAAGAGATTCAGCTGCCCATTTACCAATTTCCATATTACGATGAAGTCTACACGAGCTCAACAAGGTGGCCCAACCAATTGCATCAGGACGGATTGGCATCTTATTTATGAAGCTTTTTGCTTGTTCTAATCTTCCAGCTCGGCTGAGAAGATCAATAATGCAAGTGTAGTGATCCACAATTGGTGTAATTCCATGTTCTTTTACCATTGATTCAAAATACTGATGCCCTTTCTCCACTAGTCCTGCTCTACTGCAAGCTGAAAGAACCCCTATGAAAGTAACTCCATCGGGTTTCAAACCATGGGCTAACATCCTTTCAAACAACTCAATTGTCTCATAAACTTTTCCAAACTGGGCATACCCTGAAACCAAGGCCGTCCACGAGACTTCATCCCTGATTTTCATCTCATCGAACAGTCTATGGGAGTCTTTGATGCTTCCGCATTTACCATATAATGTGACCAGTGCATTTGAAACTGTAACAAAAGACATCAAACCTGAAGCTAGAGCTTGGCCATGGAACTGGGCACCTTCTTCTAAGCTTGCTAGGTTTGCACATGAGCTAATTACGCTTCCCAGGGTAAAATCATCTGGTTCAACCCCGCTTCTCTGCATATCACAAAAAATTCTTACAGCTTCTTCACCGTACCCATTTTGTCCATAACCCACAAGCAGTGCAGTCCACGATACTACATTCTTGCGGCTCATTCTCTTGAAAACTGTTTCCGCAGATTTTATGCTTCTACATTTGCAATACATGTCAACAAGAGCACTACCAACAAAGATGTTATCTATAAAATCAGTCCTAATGATATACGCATGAACTTGCTTGCCCTCTTCCAAGGCAGATAGGCTTCCACATGCGGTCAGTACGCTACCAAATGTATATTGATCCATACTTAAGCCTTGCCATCTCATTTCTCTAAACTTATCAAGTGCTTTTCTGCCTGCACCATTTTGGTTAAGCCCGCTAATCATTGTGGTCCACGAAATTGAATCTTTTTCAGGCATTTCACTAAACAAACATTCAGATTGTTCGATCAATCCACTCCGTAAAAACCCAGTGATAAGCGTATTATACATAACCACATTTCTCTCTGATATTGAATCAAAAACCCGCTTTGCATCCAAAATTAACCCCACTTTCGAGTACATGTCCACCAAAGGACTGCCAACAAATACATACGATTCAAACCCAAACTTCACTATCTGCCCATGAAGCTGTCGACCCAAGTTCACACATCCCTGACTCGACGAAAGCACAAGCATCGTGGAGAAAGTAATCCGGTTCAAATTACCCGGCCCGTCCCTTAACATCAAGCTATAAACTCTCACAGCCTCAGCAACGAAGCCACATGACGCATGCCCCGAAATAACTGAATTCCAAGACACCCCATCTCGGCTCGGCATTCGATTGAAGATATCTTGCATCTCAGAAATGTGACCCGATTTAGAGTAGACGGAGAGAATGGCATTCCATGAGAAAAGGGTTCGGTGAGGGATTTGGTCGAACACATGGCGGGCATAGCTTAAGTTGCCCAATTTGCCGTAGGTAGTAACGAGATTGTTGAGAAGAAAGGTTTCGGGATTAGTCACGGTTTTGACAATGTGGCAATGGAGCTTTCTGGCTTGCGCAGGGTTTCCTGCTTGGCTGCAGAGCTTGAGTAAGTTGCAGTAGTAGTTTGAGGAAGACGACATCACCGAAGGGCCTTTGGCGGCAAACAGAAGTTAATTGTACCTTACAGTAGTTTGTGATTCCATGTGTTCGTGCTTATAGTAAGCTAGAGGAGGTCATATATTTTTTTTTTCTTTTTTTTTTTTTAATATAAAATGTTTGTGGAAGTAAATATTCAAATCATAATTCCAAAATATGTTTTCAAATTTTATCTATCTAGTCATTGTGTTACGAGGCGTGAGTTAGGTCAGTCGGCTAACATCTCTCTTGCTTCTTAATATGTCTTTCAAACCGTAAGTTATAACAATTCAAAATGTCGTTAAGCCATATTGAGAGTAAGTGAAGAAATGCGCTAACATTGGATAAAATGTTCGATTCCCCTCCATTGTAACCGAAAAATATACAAGATGCATAAATAAATGAAATATATGTTAAAAATAGAGAGTTATTATTAATTGATTAGTACTCCAAAAATCTTAGTTGGCACTTCAAACTTTCTATAATTAAAAAGAAAAATACACTTATGAGAAGTGTAGAATGAGATTTTTGGAACGCTAATAACAGTTCCCTGAAAATATAACAAGATGAGAGAAGAAGTAATTATAAACTACTCTTTAGTAGGAAATTCCGAGCTTAGTGACGTTTTAAAATTCATACAGCCAACCCCATTTAGTAAGATAACGCTTGACTGTTGTTGTACGTGGATTTGAATGACATATAATTAACATAAAATAGCTTGTAAATCTAAAATTAACAAAAACATTACCAGCATTCTCATTGAAAATTTCTTGTTACTGCCCATCTCTATTTCTGTACATTCTCTGATCCACTCCCTTGAACACAAACAAATTCACCTTTTCTGCCTATATACCATCATATAATACTTCTTATAATATAAAACATGTCATCTACTTCTGCATGATATTTCTACAGATCGCCGGAAGCTTCGAATTTGACGGCTTGAGCTTCCGGAAAATATTGCGATGGCATCTTCGTCATCACAGGTGATGGGAAAAGAGAATTATCATGATCATTGTTATTTCTTCAAGGTAGTATTGTGCATATATGGGGGCGGTACAGTGTCGTGGCATAAATATGAATCGTATAATCAAAGTTCAACTTTCATCTGGCCCGGTGGCGCTGATCCTGCAATTTTTGGAAGAGAAATTAGCTGAAGACACGGGAGATATCGGAGAAATCTTGATCTTAAAACCTAATGATGCATACCATCCACATCTTGGCTACTGGGGGGAGTACCGGCTCCATAGCTCATCTGGACAACGTTGTGGAGCTCATCCTCCCACACATTCGGTAGCTGTAGCCAAACGTAGGATTATGAATTTCAGTCGTAACATTATAAGACACACTGAAAGCTGAGCAGACGAATAACATTCAGGTGTACATGGTTTATGGGATGTTATCCGGTTCAACATGGAAATTCGTTTAACACGATTTTAGCCATCGTTTGAAAGATACCTGAGAAGGCTCCTTGAACCCTCCAGCGATAGGTGTCATTTGGGAACCCATGGCTCTCCGAAGTAGATCAGAGGAGCTCCCCATCCCACAAAGGCCAGCTTGGATAAGTCCTGGTTGAGATGGATGTAGTTGTGGATAAGCCATAGGCATATCAGGAGAAAACCCCAGCGTCGATGAAGGTCCGACCCGTGACAGAAGGATCTGTGTGGAAATTAATGTACTAGGGTGAATCAGATGGCGAACATACATGCAGAAGATTTCTTCTACACTCCCATGGAATGTAGGTAAAATGACTTACGTCTTTTGCAAGGAGGCCTTCAATGTCAAAATCGAGTCGCGGATTCACTGTTGCCAGCTTCATTGACAAAAACTACAAGACGAAGAAGTCACTGTCAGATGTGATTGAGTACCTTTTTACTAACGTTTTAGCTCCTCATATATTATTTGCAACCTTTTTCTTAGAAGCAAGACCTTACCAACATAACAAGTTATGGATAGGTCTTATCCATAAACAAAATTTGCAGAAAGTTAAGCACCCACGTCTACCAACGAAAACTTAAAGAGATCAACTCCGATCCAACAGGCAGGACAGATCAATTATCAGATATACTGAGAAAGTTTTCATACCTCAACCTGCCGTTGTAAAGATTGTACATAGTTAATGATTTCGTCCAGCATCACTGCCTTCCCAGTTACCTGCAATAACCAGTTGATTTTCATGAACAGAAAGTAGGCGACTTTCGGGTGAGAATATGACACAAATTAGTTATATTTAAGTATTAATTCCAGCAAGAGAAGACAACCTTGCTGCATCCGGGCACCAGATCTTGAAGAAACTTCATCCTCTCACTGATTTTCTCCCTTCGGACCTGTTGCAAAAACCGATCAACTCCCACCCTAGTGTAATGATGAAACAAATTTCGACATGATATCTTACTCTTTCTGCGAGACTGTGACTATTTGTTGCCTGGCCTCTTCGAGCTCTAACATGGATATAATCTTCTTTTGGCGGATCGGATGCCTGAGACCCTTGTTTTCCCTGTTTTGCGGTAGTCTTGTTGGGAGTTGAAGCTGGTTGTTGCTCTCCCTTCTTTTGAAATTCAGTAGTATCCATTGCCGATTCACAGGGTGGTTGTGCATTGGCTTGATCAAGCTCATTGGCCTGCCATCAAAGATAAATTAACCAACATGAATACTGAATAACGAAAAATAAAAGGCACTTTTCAAGATGATGGTTTACCTGCCCACTCCTTTTCCTTTTCTTAGAGCCCTTAGAAGATGGTTCTGCACCCTCCAGCATAGATGCTTCCTCTTGACCAGCACCGCCACCACTGCTGTAATCAGCTTCATCGGACTCGTTACCAGACCCGCCAATAGCGTGTTTTGCTTCATCACGAGATTTAGCAAGACTCTGACTTTTCTTTTCATTCTTCAGCGGGCTCCCTTCAGTTGTCCCTTGCTCCATAGGGAAAGAAACATCTCCATTTAGCTCAGTCCTTTGAGATTGAACACCGGAAACTCCTTTCGACCCATTACCGGCTACAAGTTCTTGCGTCCATGGCATCACTCCCCCACCCCTAGAATACATAGTCATGGTTTCAGGAACACCAAAATGGTTCACCATGTCACTAACATTCCCACCATTGAAGCACGAGAACCTCGCAGCACGCTCGATGAATGCAGAATCGGCTGGAAACTGAGACAAGCTCTGTGGGAGCACTCCAGGCCCATTTGGCAAGAAAATTTCCCCTTTCAACATCGAATTCGGCGGATTCCAAGACATATCAAGTGCTCTATCAATGCCACTTCTCAAAGAAGCAGGAATACCTTTCCTAATTCCTATTGAGTCTGAAGTGCTTGCACTGTTCTGAACATTCATGTCACAAAACCCCAAGTCCTGTGAACTGGTTGGGTGATCCCAGAGTGTCGGGTTAAACGATTCCGCCATTGAAGCCGAGGGCCGAGAAGACGAACCAACTGCCAAACAATTTCCAGTGGGAACCAAGCCCATGGATGTAGTTGTGAGATTGGAGCCACCAAATCTCCAGTCTGGTGTAACCCCAGGTGAAAAATTCATAGGATCATCATTCCTGTTCTCTAATTCAAATTTATCTTGGTCACCCAAATCCATATTTTCTCTAACAGAACACCAAAAGTAGCCAAAATCTCCCAATTTTGACCACCCCAATTAAAACCCTAGAACCCTAATTTCAATTTGACTAAAACAGCTGAGAAAAAAAGCAAATTAAAAACAGGGGAAGTAAGGGAAAGTATAATTCAACTCAAATAATCTCAAAAACGTGAACTTTAAATTTGCAATTGAAGAAACTTCAAGCAGCTCTAAGAAAAATGACCTCAGGAAACCCCAAAAGCAAAGAAATCATGTGCTATGTGAAGATAACTACACAAAGAAAAGGGCTTTGGGAGAAAGATCCAGACTTGAATTCAATTAACGAGCAGGAGAATTCCAAAACAGTGAAACAAAACCCATGTACCTAAAAAAAACTGTACCAAATATCACTCCAAAGTACAGCTACCATTTCCAATGACCACTCAAATTTGCAGTACCAAATTTGATAAGAGGAAGCAGTCCCAAGGCAGAAGGCTAAAACAAGACAGTTGGAAGAAAGGGCAGGTAAAAGTGTAGGGGAGAGGCAGTCAATTAAATAAAGAACATTGATTTCAGCATAATAAATGCCCTATTCAAAACCCTAGTAAGAGTTGCAGGAAACCCTCTGCTTCAGAGGGAGAGAGAGAGAAAGAGACCCAACTCAAAAGTGGTAATTAGAAAGAAACCCATTTGAGATTCTGTGCTACTTTTGGCTCTCTGTCCTGCATTCCAGCTCTCTACTTGAAGCAATCTTTTATTCAATTTGGGTTTTGGGTTGGCTTTGTTCAAAACCCCTTCCTGTTTTTAAGCTCAGCAGCTCTGGTTACACTCGCTGTCACACAACCAAAAAACAGGGGGGAGAGAGAGAGAGAGAGAGAGAGAGAGAGCTGCATATAAAAGCAAAGGCTTTAAAGTTGTAGAGAGAGAACAAGAAAATAGGTTCCGTTTGATGGGAGCTCGATTGGAGTAGATAAATGGGTAGTGTAAGCCATTCCAGCTTTCTACTTGAAGCAATCTTTTATTCAATTTGGGATTTGGGTTGGCCTTGTTCAAAACCCCTTCCTGTTTTTAAGCTCAGCAGCTCTGGTTACACTCGCTGTCACACAACCAAAAAACAGTAGAGAGAGAGAGAGAGAGAGAGAGAGAGAGCTGCATATAAAAAGCAAAGGCTTTAATGTTGTAGAGAGAGAACAAGAAAATAGTTTCCTTTTGATGGGAGCTCGGTTGCGTTTCAAGTTTAAGCCATTTTGATGAGTTACCCAGGCAAAAATATGTTCAATACTGTAGCTAATTGAGTAGTTAAAATTTGCCAACACCCCAATTTCGAAATTGCCATGGAGTCTCAAGTTTCTATTCGTAGAACATGGATTCTCTTCGGATCCATGCATCTTAATTCTAGGAATCCATCAATACGGACTATTGAATTTTGATTCAACAACTACAAATAGGAGTTCATTTTTAAGTTATAATATTTTTAATAGTTAGATCAAATTTAAATGATTTGGATTGATGGATCCCTTGAATTATGATGCATGGATGGGAGATGATCCATGTCTCTAATTATAATAAAGTATTTCATGTGAAGGAAGAAGACAAAAGTAAAAGATAAAAGTAGATGTTAGAGATGAAAATAAAATAATAATAAAATTTGCCTACTTCGTTTGTCTATTTCATTGAAGTGACACACTTTTTATGAGGTAATTGAGTAGGCAACTTGTCACACTAGTCCTTATAGTACATTTTTGCGTATGCCCTTTGCACACTATTGGAGATGTAGAGGAGTAGGCAAATGAGTAATCAAACTCTTTTTTATGGGAGTACGATTCTTTATCCTTCCCCCCT